AACTTTTTGACGGTACCCCTCGCTAAAAATAGAAAATTTTCCAGGTTATCAAGTGTGCTGAATACGAAAAAGCACTTTTCTTTAACTCTAAACAAACTTTAATTTTTTTTTATCGGTGATATGACAATAAAATCAGCTTAGCTTCATTAAGTTAGAATAAAACAATGTAAATATAAAAAGGATGTAAAATATTTTTGTTGCTATAGTATGTAAATACAGTTTTTTTATTACGTTTTCTGGACGAATATAACAATAAAGATTGTCATCAAAATTTCCATACGTTACATTCGACGTTTTGTAACACTTTGTAACAAAGCGTTAAACAGGCTGTCATCACGGGGTAGTACCATTGTAATACCCCGTGACGACAGCCTGTTTAACGTTTAAATAGAATAAGCGAGGCTTCTTAATTGAGATCACTAAACTTTGCAGCTTGTAGCTCCTATTTTATTAAAATATGGGTTCTTAAACTAGTTGTTAGTGCATTTCATAGTATCTGATACAATACCTCTTCTCTATTAGGTAATACAGCTTAAACAACTGACTTCATGCTTAATTCATCCTATGTATTAATACCGTAGCTTTGATAAAATAGTTCTGGTGACGTTCTAAATGTACCATCTGTATTTCAGTGTGGGTTAGCACTGAGAATTTGTAATGATGTTGGTGATGAAAAACCCAAAATTGGATAAGAAGCTGGATTGTTACAAAATAAAACGCATGTAATGCGAATGTATGATACACGAAAAAACTTTTGTTTAACGTTGATATTTAAGTACACTGTTTTAGACTGTCAATTCACCCTGTGTATTATAAAGCGTTATGGTGGGGCGCTCAAAATTGTTGGCTGATCTTTATTTTTTGGTTTTGCTCCTCGATCATAATAAGTAGAGCAAATCTGACGAAAGATTTGAATAGCCGAAAGAATTCCCATTATGGCGTGTTGCGTATAAAGATTCCATCAAAATTGTTTGTAACCGAACCTCTGAAAAACCCAAATCTGGGAATTCCAAACCCCAAAAATGTTTACGCCACATGGTGCAGCTGTTTGCAAAAAGCGTATCGGTAGAACTGGAGGGCTCTGTTTTCTAGGATTTTGATTTTTCAGAGATCCGAATTACAAAGATTTTGATGAAATCTTTATACGGGCCATATCAGACTGAAAACTCTTTCAGCTACTCAAATATTTTTTCAGATTTGTTCTATCTACTGTGGCTGAGCAGAAAACTGAAAATAAAGATCGACCAATAATTTGAGCGCTACTGTTTATATTTCTATTGCACAGGGTATATTTATTCCATCATTTTGATCAAAATCCGATAATGGCCTAATTTTCTGGGATAATCACCATTCTCCTTTTGCTCATGGCTGCTTCACAGATTTAGAATTTTATTATTTATAGCATAAGAACAAATATAGTATGTTTGTTGAAATCTTGCTAGATAAAAGCTGTGCCACCTAAGATATCTTTCTTATTAATTGCGTAAATTCATCAAACATACAGACAGCAATACAAGTAACTACAAACAAAATCACACATACACGTAAAATTGTGCTCAAGGCAAGTTTTATTCTAATGTTTCTCCCACTGTCAGTTGGACTTTGTTTTAATAGTTCATTTCGTCACGGTATAATTTCAATGAGTTTAGAAGTACTTTAACAAAAGTGCTACATGAATCAATCTTTTATTTAAAACACTCATGTACAACGGATTCATAAAAAAGCACTTAGCTTACATGGATGTGTCTTAATACAAGAGAAAACAGCGCTAAGACCTATAAAAAAAACTGATCACATACACGTTTCACGGTAAGAAATGTGTGCACATCTCATCACTCACATTTATTCATCTCACATGCTTAGGTCCTGTCTAAAAGCTTGCCCTTAAAAGCAAGCAAATTCTGAGAGCAAATTATTCGGTAGAAGTACAAATCTTGAAAAGTATATTCGAGATCGCGATACTTTCTCTGTTATTGTTTGTTTATCTCTTGCACTTATTTATTTTTCTCTAGTGGATGTGTTATATATATAAATGAACTGAATTTCCGACTTGTTGTGTACGGGCTACATAAGGTGATTGATGAGACACGAACATAAGTGAAATTGGAGGATTCTAAGTTTCACAACATAGAATGTTTGTCAATCAAATCAATAACAAATTCCTCCATTTTCTTCTATATTGTCACAGCGGAAAGTATGTGGAAAGGTGATAAATATAATTTAAGATAAATTGAATACTACATGAAAGTTTAGTTTGATTAAAGCTTTTTGTTGAACCGAGAATATGTAATTCTCATTCCGTCTCTTAGACTAATAAAACACAAAATTAATGTTTGTTCGAAGCTAGAATCTTACACAGGAACTTAATCTTTGCAGTTGGCATGCAAACATCAAATCAACTTCACTGCTCTTCCCTATATTTTGTGCAACGATTGAAATTCTACGATGGCTAAATGTTACTTTCATTCATCTTTTGTATTTGACTTAGTAAACTTTTTTTCTACGTGAAATGGAGCATAAAGGTCACTTGTTTCACTAAAACAAGTGAATGAGACTGAAGATGAGATACATTGCAAAAAGACGAAACATTTCTCATTTTTATCTATTGAACATACATATATTTCAATTCGTAGTATGACATCTTAGAATATTTTCATTCTCTTCGCTCATGGCTGATTGATATTAGATAAAATTGCACGTGAATGTGATATGCGTGTAGACAAATCATATTTTCACAGAAAAGAATATCTGCCTATCTATAGCGGCTATCTATAGCACGTGCTTTTCTCTACTTTTCTTTCTTTTGTTTTATTTTCTCTTGAAAAAAGAGCACATAAGTGCAGCACGGAGAGAATAATATAAACGATTAGATGACGATAGACTAGTTCATTAGTTCGAAAAAATGGATACATTTATTACCGTGTAGTAGAAAATGATATACCGGTCAAATAACAAGTAAGAATATCTATTTTTTCAATCTATGAAGACTAGCTTATCTAATGCTGCCTGATTTATAAAAAGTATAATATTCGCTTTTATTTTTCTCTCTTTGCTTATCATACGAAAAGATATTTGCGCCTTTTTCTCATTTAATTAATAAGTACTTTAGGTTGTACGTTTAAAGTTGATGGAATAAATGCTGTAAGATTGTTCACGTCTGTTATTTGATTTGATGACCACTTCAAAAATACTTAGAAAATTCTCTTCTCACTTTTTCTACAGATGATAGATCGTTTGAAGATAACCTCGAAAGAACTGACGACGTGATAATTTGTATCAGTCGTATGTCTTGTATTGTACTACATAATAAAGTTTTGAGAGTTGCGATTAGATCAAACGTCTCTCTTTTCTTGTTTTGTAGTTGTGTGAAATATATGAAACAGAAGAAAATGATCTTTTCATACATTTTATTTATTAAAATATTTTTCCTCTAATTGTGTTCTCCTTAACGCTACGCGTAATATCATTTGTTTTTGCTTATAAGATAATTTAGCATTAAATACTTTATCACCCATTATTATTCGCGGTCTATTACAGGCACAATTTATATAGGATTCAAGTATTTTCATAAGTTCGTTAACATCAGGTTGATCACCAACTTCTCCCGGTTCTTTAAAATAGACTTCAATTTCATCAAATGTCAAATTAGTTGTGGATGTTGTTTTACGTCGTTTTGGAGAAACACTTCTTTCTGATGCTTTACTAAGACCAGGTCTTATTTTATGGCTTGGATGTAGTTCTTGTTCATTGTTTTGTCTTTGCAAAGATGATTGTCTTACAATATCACGTACACTTTCTTCACTTTCATTCTCTAAAGAAGGCGTTTGCTGTTTTTGATATAGTTGATTATGTTTTTCTGATAGTAGATCTGATGATGAGCTCGATTCAATTGATATTTTAGTTGTACTATTGACTGTTGAATCTTTTACTGTTTCATTAGGGATCATTTGTTGATTAATACTCAGGAAAGATTTCGCACGTTTGTTAAACGGTGATGAAGATAAACCATCAAATAATTGTCTTTTGGTTGAAGTATCTGACGATAATAGATTATTTTTTCTGGTTGATGCTGTGGGTATTAGTGATATTGTATCACTATCAGTTGTCTGAAAAACCATAACTGTTGGAACATTACTTCTTGGGTTTTTCAATGGCACAATTACTTTTAAAATGTCATCCTGACTATCTGTTATTTCTACGGATGGAATGATGGGCAATACCATTTGACTTTTTATGGATGGAGATGATCTGGCATTTACTATCTGTCTATTTTGTACAGTTTCACTTTCCATAAGTTTTGTTGAGGCAAGAGAAGAAGACTTTGATGACGTTGAAAATGGTAACGTTGAAATGGCACTATTCGACAATACTTTATCGCTTGGATACATGCAATAATCATCGACTGACACCCATATATTATCTATTGTTTCAATTAGCCATTCGTTCTTATTGCTAGATTGCATTAATTGCACATTGCTACAAATTAGATCGTTTTCGAACGAAATATCAATCATTTGTTTATCAACAACTTCTTGTAAATGATTTAACGGCAAAGGAAAATGGCTTAATATGTTTGAGTCTGACCGCTCAGAATGCGCTGTTATACTATAACCATTTTCTTTTTCTTGTTGTTGATCTAGTGTTGAACTAAAAAGTTTGAATAATATCTTATCTTTTACGAATGAATAAATCAACGTTATCTCCATATCTCACCTATTGAGAAAAAAATTTTCATATCCGCTTTCATTTTCTTTAACTAATGATAAACTGTCTGGTGTTTTTCTTTCACTCAAATCATTAAATGTCGATCTTTCGCAAAGCACTAAGTAGCAGCAGCTAAACCAGTTTAGGGTACAATAAACTTTTCACAACTTACCATGTATTTTCTTATTATCAAAACTCGATGGCGTTAAATTCGGTCCTTCAAGTTCTGTTCTTTCGTCTCCATTTTGCCCCTCAAGAGATCGTTCACTCTCTACCTGGTCAATTGAATCGAACTCCGTCCGCTTTTGTTCTTCGTCTAGATAATCAGTATTGCTAAAAGAAAGAATTCGTAAATGATAAGATCCCGAGCTTTAGCATAATGAATTTTTTTACCTCTTCATACTATGAATTTCCTCCGATAATTGTGAGTTATATTTCAAATTCTGCTGCAAACGTTTTACTTTTTCTCCACTAAGTGAAAAAAAATAAAAATAATAATAAAACTATTGCTGGAAAAGTTAGATTTTTTTAACCTGTCTATGTTCTCACTTCTTACATCAGGTTTTAAATGCTGACTACTATCCGTACCAAATGGTCGTGCAGTCGGTTGCTTTTTGAATAACTCCTCGCGGGAGATAGATAATGAAGTGTGGTTTTCAGCATTAGAAAGAGGACACTTTAAGACATCTTTTCATAAGCG